GCAGCTTGTCTTCACCACCCACCGCCAAATCTTGGGCTACTCTTTTACCAACGAATAGTTGGATTGACCGTCACATTATAACGCCCCCACGGCTGAAAAGGGCGAGCATGTTTGGTGGGACGGGGATTCGAATCCGCGACCCGCAGATTGCGAGTCAAGTTCCCTAACTACCTGGCCATGCCGGGCCCATATATTGTGTCAGTACGACACACAGTTATAATGCACGAAAATGCAGACTATGAATGTACTGGGAAGAAGGGGTACAGACAGTAATACCAATGTAGTGAAATTTTGCAATTTACACCACAGCTGGTACTAAGTTTGTTACTGGAAGAAGTTCCCTAAGTAGAGGCATGGTAAAATGTAATGGCTGGCACTGTCTAACCTGTAGGAACTAGTTTTGCTATCTTGACCACCATTTTCCTACTAAAACTGGGCTCTATTTATGTAGTAACCATAAAGGGATATAAACATCAGCAGCTGGACCAACCACCTTCCAGCCCAGAAGATGAATGGCCCCTACCTTAACAACAGTTGTGGCTCCACCTGTCAAACAATCCCGTGAAAAAGTCCAGAAATTATCGACGGTGGACCTCTTGGCAAAACCACTTAATATGATTATCAACTGGCCCAAATTAGAGAAAATCCCTGTCTACAAGTGGCATTGCTAGGAGATGGGCACTGAGTAAATCAAAGCTTGAGCCTTCTACAACCAAGAGGAGAGCTACACCTCAATCATGACTCAAAGAGTAGGTACATCATTTGCAAGTTGAGCTGGTGTACACTAAGAGGGCACTATCAATAGCTTGGGATACTTTGAGGACAACCACGGATGCTAACCACAATACCGCAGCCACACTCAAGGAGCTGCTGATAGAGTTAAGGTAAGACGAGAATGGTGCCTTTTACTGACTCTAGTTGAGTATTGCAAATTCTGTATTTTTATATTTAACTTAAAGTGTTGCATATATCTATATATCACTGCCATGTTTATTTATTACTTTACACTTTATATTCTATATAATATGTTTTGTAGATGTTTTTGGCTGAGGATATTTTACCCAATCTTTTACTTTTCTCATTTGGTTACTTTCGTGGTATATCTTCGTTACTTTTATTTGGTTACTTTCGTGGTATATCTTCGTTACTTTTATTTGGTTACTTTCGTGGTATATCTTCGTTACTCTTATTTGACTGCCATATTATTAACATAATCCTTTTGTAACGAGCTTATTTTGTATTTTGATTATGTTTTGGTTCTGTCTATGTTAAAAGGTTCATTTTTTATGTACATGTGTGTTATATCTAAAATATATATTGTGATTTTTTCTGGGCTTAGTTTGTGCTTTAGAAATTGTATTTTTGTATTGTTCCTATTATTTCCTTGAAAATATGGTTTTCTTTTTGTGTCTTTGAATTGAGTCAATGTTAAAGAATTTTACTTTTGTGGCTTTGAATTGAGTAAATGTTAAAGGGTTTTTCTTTTGTGGCTTTGAATTGAGTCAATGTTAAAAGTTTTTCTTTATATGATTATTGTTCAATTGTGTCTTATTAAAGATAATTGTGTTTTATGATTTGTCATGATGTATTAATTGCTATATCTCCATCAAAGGTTTTTCTTAATACTGTATACTAACTTGTTAAAGGATTTTACTTCAGCATTGATTCTGTTTTTAACTGTTTGAGAAGGAGTTTCAAAGCTTAAAAGCTTCATTGATAAAATGTTTCATTATAGGATTTCCATTTTTGTATGATTATCTTTGTTAAAGAGCTTAATCTATGTTTCTTTGTTAAATTTTTGTGTTGTGTTGTTGCTTGTAAATGTTTACAAGAATGAGAGAAAGCTTAACCTCTCCTTGACCAGGACACAAGTATAAAGTTAATTGGTTTGAAAGTTAATTCTAACTTTTGGCTTGATGACAAGCCCGAAGAATGGTGGGGAAGGAAAAGTGGTATACAGGTATATCATGAATTTTCCATCTTCTCATTCTCTAGTAGAATTTTTCGTTTATTTTAGGTAAGTGTAGTTTTCCATAACACGTGGTCAAGAAATTTATTAAGATGATGTTGTAACTAAATTTATTCCTTTGTCATTTCTTGGAGAGAACACTTGTTCTGTCCATGGAATCATGGCTATAATATTGCATGTTGTGCAAGAATGTTGACAGTCATTGCCCTCCAATGATAGATTAAGTGATATCTCTAGGTAATAGCGTCCCCTATGTTTGAATAAGAATGACCAGACACGTAGATAGCGCTAGTTACTTTGGGTAAAACCAACAATTCTCATTAAGTATGGTCTCTGTGAATCATGATGAGAAGGGCTCTTTGAAGCTAGTATTTATGGTTTATATTTAGTATATCAACCCTTAAACTAAATAAAGGGACAAAATACATATATATATATTATTTTGCCCTTTACGGGTTTACACAAATTACAAGTAATGACGCAGCTTAGGTATTTAATTAGGGAAACATATCAACAAGTCAAATAAATCTGCTTATTCAAGACTTCAAGGAGTCCGTCTACAGGACTGCTTTACTTACACGAAAAAATTTCTACTGTTATTCGTTAGAACGTGATCTACTAATACCGGTACTTCAAATTAGTTCGATTATTTGTTGTTAAGCACAAAACTACACGAAGGACTATCTGTGCTCTGCCCACCACGGGTATCGAAACCCGGTTTCTAGCGTAAGTCCACAGACATACCGCTGTGTTACTGGGGGCTCTCCGAATGAGAAGCGAATACATCGTATCTACTATTTGATACACATACACACTCGTTTTTTTTATCATTATAATTAGTGCTAAGTATATAAAAACAAAACTATACATATACTGATATAGCTAACACTCATTTTTCATTACTGCTAAATGTTACAAAAACATACATAAGGCAAGTACTCATTTTTTTTATTAGAAGTAATAAACATTAAAAACAAAATAAGAACATGTATTATACTGTTACGTCTCCATTTGTTAAATTGATTTTCCGTAACTTCGTTCCGATGAAACTTTAGCGACACAAGTCCTTACTTAATAAAACTGGTTTATTCTTTCCGAATATAACTTTACGATACACTTAATTTCAATATTCTCGCTAAAACAAACACTATAACGAACGAACGTTAACTTCAACAATACGTCTCTCTCTGACTGCAGTTCAATTACTCACTATCCACTCACACGCATTAACGCGTCACGTTGTCACCCTCTTATACATACCAGCCTACCCTATCTAGTAAATACTAGAGCATTCGCCAAGGTACG